TGTTTCTCATAGTTATGGCTTTCTATTTGGCATTTTTTTTTTATTTCCAGTGGCGGAAACGGGCTTCCATAGAACAGTGATAAAAGGTAAATAACATAAAAGGACATGTGTTATGCAGAGGTGCAGAACCATGAGTGGTTTGTTTTGAAGAGATCCAACAAAGATGGGCGTGAGCTTCTCTTCGTCTCCCGTGGCTGGGAACAAACAGACTGAAGGGGCGGAGCTTTAAAACAAAAACACTAAAGATTCCAGCGCCAACATGGCCGCCATATTAGCTGTTACCCTCTAAAGTCAAGCATGTCCTGAGCCAACATGGCCGACCATGTTGCTCAGTTGCAGGGTGAAAGTGGGCGGGACCTATGGGAGGCTGGGGGGGTCACATGATCCACACAGAGCCAAGCTGAGCAAATCCAATATGGTGGCCAGCTTGGCAGGTCTACGGTTCCTGTTGATGGTGTTGCTGCTCTGCGGGATCAGGTTCGGCGCCTGCAGCGAAGAAGCTCCAACGGTCGTAGGGCTGCGACTGGAAGACCCCACCGGCTCGGTGTGGATGAAGGGTCGGACCATCTATGCGCCGCAAGGAGCCACGTTCAAGCTTCGTCTGTTTGGGGCTAATCTGAATGGAAGCTGGCCGAGGGTCGGCTTCGCTTTGGGGGCCGGGGCAGCCGCGGGGGCGCTGGGTGATGCCCCCGACCCGTGCGAAGACGAGTCCCGCCGCAAGAAATCCGCCTTTAAGGTAGCGGAGTACCTGGAGCAGGATGAGCAGCACAGCAGGCTGCTGAGGGTGGAGGTGGAGGGTGGAAGCATCCCCGAGGGTTTGCATCACCTGTGTCTGCAGAGCCACGGCGGCTGGGAGTCCGTGGGCTCCGACAGACTGGAGGTCAGCCCGGGGTTCCCGGCGGACATCCCGCCGTGGGCTCTGGCTCTGCTTGTGGTGCTGATGCTGGTGGTGTGCGGGCTGCTGAGGACCGTGAACCTCAGCCTGCTGTGGCTGGACCCCGCAGAGCTCTATGTCCTCCACAGCTGCGGATCCGAGGAGGAGAAACGAGCCGCTAAGCGCCTGGAGCCGATCAGGAGGAGAGGGAACTTCCTGGTGAGTTTCTGAGAACCGTTGGAATCTATGGAAGCCCGTTTCTGCCACTCTAAAAAAACATATCTCATAATAATAAGATACCATTGCAAAATTATGACATATCTCCATCCATCTTCTCCGCTTATCCTGAGTTGGATCTCAGGGGTAGCAGCTTTGGTAGGGAGGCCAGGCGTCCCCCTCCCCAGCTGCCTGGGTCAGCTCCTCTGGGGAGATCCCAAGGCGCTTCCATCCCAGCAGAGAAACATAGTCCCTCTAGAGCAGGGGTAACTAATAAAAAATCAGCGGGTCCGAGTAAAGAAAATCAACAACCACTAATTCTGTTTCAATTCAGTTTATTTCTATAGCACCAACAACAGTTTACAGTTCACCAGATCATCCAGTCAGATTGATTCAAAGTTTTCTATCTTAAGGAAAACCAATTGACTGCAGCGACTCTTCAGCAATCCCTCACACTAAGCATGCTTGCAGTGACAGTGGAGAGGAAAAACTCCCTTTTAACA